AAGACAGTGAACCTACCCTTGGTTATCCCTACCCTTCAATGGACTGTGACCTGCGTTGCACGATAAACGGATGGCCTGGTAGTGAACAATGATAAACGGTCCCATTCAGTCTGTATAAGGGGTGAAACAGCTGTAGCCTTTGGCTTGCACAACCAAAATTTTGTATGAATTCCCTATTCCATCACCTCATGCTCCATACACACATCACGGCTCAAACCAGTGTACAGATGGTACTGTAAAGCAGCACATAATTTATGTTTTGGACAAGTAGCAATATTTGCTTGTTAATTCTTTGGATTTTAGGCTGAGGGTTTCCCCTTCATAATAGTTTGTTTATATATTACATTCCTATGCTGCCCAATAATTGAAGCTCCTGGGCAGTTCAGAATAAGTGAAATACAGCAGGGTAAAATACAATACAGTACCCTACAATACAATACCGCATTATAAATATAATGTGAAAATAGTTGTAGTTGTCTTGTGGCACCTTAAAGCAAACACATATCAAATGCTGACTTGCCCATGAAAAACTAAATGTGTTCACCTTTGTAGTGCCACAAGAGGCTTCTTTGCTATTGGTGTAACAGACTAACAAGGATAATAGTTCTGTTTACCAGGCTAACTTTTACTTTTGCCCATGTTGAAGTTTATCACGTTTGTGGCTGAGTTTAATTGATTTGATCACACTCTCTAAAGCCTGTTTACAATCCCAGAGTGCCTCTAATCTGAAATTGTGTGGAAGAAGAGATATGAAATAAAGGAAAGTTATACCACTTTTCAAAATGTAAGTGCTGGATCGTCTTCTGTGCTTTTGTCTCAGTTGAATATAGTTGCGAAAAACATATGGTCTGCTTGCTGACCTGGTACCATTAAATGTAGTTCTTACGCACACATTGATAGTTAATGACAATTATTTTTGGATGTTCCAACAAATTCCAGCTTTTATTTCAAGTGAGGAATTCATGTCTTATAGTTACCAAATTTATCTTATTTTCTCTCACAGATTAATCAAATTTGTGACAGCTGATAGAGTGAGATACCTAGCCTTTTGTGCCTCTTTGGGAGTGCCCTGCAGTGGTGGAGGTGTTTCCCCATTTGCTGCAAAGCCTTTAAAATGCATTTTCATTTCTCCTCCACCATATTGCTAACTGTAAGAAACAAATGGTCTCTATAAAAGCTTTATATAGAGAGACCATGAATTGCTGAACTGTCATTCTGTTGACTCACCAGAAATTGGAATATAGCAAAAGCTGCTTTATACAGAAACTAGTCTTTCTTCTAGATCAGTACTGTTGACACTGGGCATCCCCAATCTTTTTGGCACTTGTGGACACATTTGGGAATCTGAGAAACTGTTGTGAGCACCACCACAAAATGCCTAATCACCAGATTGCCACTTTGGCATCTACCTGTTACATCTTTGGATCTTACTTCGCCTGAGTCTTACTCAGCAAAAATGTTTATTGGGGATTACAACATCTCTTTAAATGAGGAATCATCTAATTTGGCTAATTGCTGGCACTGCATGGCAGCTAATGCTTATTTTAAATATGTTTTGGCAATGTCCAGCAGTTGTTTCTTTTGGGGTGGAGGTTATTACACAGATAAATTTTTTACTGGGACAACCTTTAATATTCACCAGTGTACACCCTTATTTAAATTATTTACCTGCTTCATGGAAGCTTTCAGATGGAGGGGGAAATAGATTCTTTATACCTTTTTGGCCCCTGAAAAACTAGTATTATAACAGAAAGGTGCAACTCACCTTGAATACAAAGGATTGAGAAATTTACAGCACTTTAAATATTTGAACAGGTATATTGGCATTTGAATAGATGCCAACTTCAAATGGATACTTATTTGGATATGTGGTCCTCTTTTGTTGACACTGATGTATAAGTGTTAGAGAGCTGCATGCAGTTCATTCAAATCCACGCATGAACATTAAAATAACAGAAAAAATAAAATAACTTGCTTTCATGGAGACTGGCAGGTTTTCAAATGACAGTCTTTTCCAGTGGTAACCAGACACGCTGGAGATTGAACCAGGGAACTTATGGATGCAAAATATGTACTCTGCCACTGAGTTACAGTCTGTCCCTAAAGTTTGCAGGTGCAGCTGGGGCTGCTTGTGCTGGGGGCAGATCACTGCCAGGCAACCGCCGCTGAGCAGACAGCAAGGGGAGCAGAGTGAGGGAGGTATGCTTCAGTGCAGGTAGTGCCCTGCTGTGTGCTGCACAGAGTCCTGCTACTACCAAGCACAACTAAGGGCGTTCCACCAGAGGCTGCTGCCAGCTGTGGGCTCCAATTGTCTTCCCCATTGCCACAAGGGGCATGAAAGGTAATGGAGCCCCCAGCCTCTGCTTTCTGCTTTTGCAACACCGGCATGGTGGATGAGCTTGCTTACTGAATGGCTGTTGGAAACCTAATAGGGGCTTTGGGCTGCCATGCTGCCCTAGGACATGCTTGGGATGTCTGTGATACAGTGGGATTCTTGTGTGTTGCTCCCGTGGCCAAATATTTCTAACAGCTGGGCTGTGTGTTACTAGCAGTTGCTTTGCTGCAGATTATGGCCAAGGATTGTACAAAGATAGGTTTTTTCCTTGTTCATGTTTTAGGTCACAACTTCCACCCCTTGTTAAACTGGCTATATCCTGTTCAGACTTGACAAAAATGGAAAGCAAAGTTAAATACAATTCTGTACATCATTATATAAGTCAATCCTCTGCTGTGATACAGCAAATATAATACCTAAATTTTCTATGGAAGATACTTGACTATTCAGTGAAACATTTCCATTGATGGAATTTCTGAATCTCTTTTAAAACAACAACAAAATTGTGCTTCTTTGCCCAACTTACCTCTCAGCTAGAAAGATTCCACACACACACAAAGCATTCTGAAGATCACCTTTTATAAAACTTGAAAGAAACTCAAAGGAGTTTCAGACATCTACTTCATAAAACTACTAGCAGTGGGATGAAAGCTTTGACTTCTTTCATTTTAGGAATTTCTGTGTGGCTGTGTGTGATCTTTCATCTCTACAAAGAGATCTAGCATAGTAAATTAACATCATGCTGTGGGGGAAATCCTGGTAGTTATTGATCTGACATTTGTCTCCTCTTTATTTACTTAAGCCTCTGTTTGCTAAAGGGAGGGTAAATTTCAGTATCTCCCTTGTGGTATTCAGGTGCCATTTAGGTTGCTTACTAGCTGTTTCAATTTCATTATCATTGTTCACTTAGCTTTGTCTTGCGGAACCATGCTTCAGGAAAACTCAGTTGTTTTGTACCGAAGAATGTGCTACTTATTTTAGGAAGAATTTGCTGTGTTCATGACCTCTGAAGATCAAAAATGTTGCTATCAAATAGTAGAAGTGCTCTTGGTCCGTGCAGTCTGTGTCATCTCTTAGTAAAGCATTCTTTTAATCACACCAAATTGACTTTTCTCTCAGTTTTGTCACGGAAATTGTTTTGGCTTTTGAAAGACTTGAGCTGCATGGAAAAGACTCTGACAGTGTCTAACAGATAAATTGCATCAAGGTAGTACACAAACTTGAAAGTGAAATAAGTCACCAAATCAAAATCCATGATAGTGTTGATATCTAAGATAGTGTTTGCTGGACAAGAGATGCTATTAACTTTGGTGTTCAGTGCATCCTCATCTAGTGGGTTACATTTGAGGGTTCCTCTGAAGCATCCAGCACAGCTACAGCTCTAGAAGAAAGTGGGGCTAGCTCAACGGGATAACTGTATAACTGGAAACTAACCAAAAGAATTAGCACTTCTGGGGTGGAACAGGCAAAGGAGTTCCCTTGATTTTCTGGTGCTGGAAGCACTCATTTTAGCTTGTTTCTGACCATGTGCTAGCAAGTGCCAGATCCCTTTGCACTTGTGTTCACATCCACTAGTGCAGTGTGTTCAGCAGTCCCAGTCGGCTAGCACTGGATTCTGCTTAGTGCTTTTAGCAGCTTCGGATCCATAGCAGTGTATCCACCTGGAAGGAACCATGCTGCACCTTCCCTCTGCACAGAAGGGTCTCTTAGTGACATCAGCACATTTAGGCTATGGAAGAAATAAAAGCATTCTGACTCTTTGTTTTCCCCTACAAGTATATTGGTTGTTTATATATCATTTATATACCAGCTTCAGCAGAAAGGGCAACCTTTTGGGGGTTAGGAGCCGCAGTGGCTCCTGTGGAACTCTCTGGTGAGCCACATGAGGGGCTGGGCTGAATGGGGCAGCAGTGTGTGGGACCAGGCAACACCCCATTTATTTGCATCCCTGCTTAATTCTTTCATCATATTCTCACTTTCCCTCACTCCTAGTACTGCCCAAAATGCCTGTTGCTGCTATTAGCTGCAGGGGAAAAGCAATCTGAATCTGTATCACTGCTGGGGGAGCGTTTCTTTGCAGTATCCCCTCCCACAGCAGTCCTGACAAAGGTAGCAGTTTCCCACTCCTGATATCCAGTGGAAGAAATAAGTGGAGCGGAGTTCTGTGGGCCACACAGAGAACTGCAGGGGACTAAAGGTTGCCCACTTGTGCTTTACAAAAGAACAATGAAAGGAAACGTTTTCCAAGCAATAGATGTGAAGAAGATGCAGACAGAGGCAAATGGGAGAAGAATGTGTGTTCCGCTTAGTTGCCCATAACTAAGCTTAGATTCATAAGGGGGTGAAAGTAAGGGACTGTGCAAAGGATTTGTTGAAATGGTGGGTTTTGAGCGCCACTGTGGAGTAGTGGTTGAAGTGCTGGACTGGGACTCAGGAGATCCCAGTTCTAGGCCTCTGCAAAGACGACATGGAAAGGTGGGTGATAATGTAAGCCAGCTTGGGCTCCTTGGAGAAGAAAAGGCAGGATATGATTTGCATTAATTAACTGAGGAACCTTTGAGGGAAGCATAGAGGGTGTCATGCAACTGTTTGGGGAACCAGTATTTTGGAAAAGCGAGGGCAGGAGCCACACCCTAAGACTTGGTTGTATCTTTGCTTTGCTTAGGCCTGACTCCACCTACCACCCCTCCTCACAAAGCGAACCAAGACAACCCTTTTAGAACTTCACCGAAGCCAAAGTCATCATGCAAGACTGTTATGCCACCTTCTAAAAAATCCCGCTGCAGTGAGTCTTCCAGCTCCCAAGGACATAGCTTAGGTCAGAAGGGTCCAGAGCAGTCAGAGCTGTATGCACAGCTTAGCAAGACAACTGTGCTGTCTGTCGGGCACGAGGAGAGGAAGACAAAGCGGCCTGGTGTGCGGCTATTTGGTGACCATGACTACTGTCAATCTGTTAATTCAAAAACAGAGATACGCATCAATCTATCCAAGGAACTTCAGGATTCCAGACAAGGAGAATTAAAAGGCTGCTTGCCTGGGTGGTGGTGTCATATTTGTTCTTCTTTTGAACAACACAACCAGTATAACAAAAGAGAGACTTCACAGGCGAGCAAGCAGGATTTGCAGTGCAACAACCGGAAACAGCTCCAAGACCAGGAAATCCGGGCTGAACTCAATAAGCACTTTGGTCACCCTAGCCAAGCTGTTTTTGAGGAAGAGACCACTAAGACCAGTGACCTGAGGGACAACAGTGATTATAGCGATGAACAATTCTCCAAGCTACCTATGTTTATCAATTCAGGACTAGCAATGGATGGTATTTTTGATGACAGTGAAGATGAACGTGACAAACTGTACTGCTCATGGGATGGGACACAAGCCTTCTCTTTGTTTGACCTGTCACCATCTTGCTCATCCCTTAACTCACCATGCCGAGATTCAGAGTCTCCACCCAAATCCTTACTTTCTCAAAGATTCCAAAGGATACGCTCTCGATCAAGTTCCTTCCCTCAGCGCAGGTCTTGTTCCCGTTCTCCATATTCCCAATCAAGATCAAGATCGCCATGCAATCGATCCTCCTCAAGGTACTGTATGGGAAAAGGGAAGCCAAACAATTACAATTGTTGGTATGATTGTGTGTGAAGCACACTTGGAGAAAGTTTCTGTGGTGAATATCAGCCGTTTCTCTGATATTAAACCAGCAAATAGCTGTTTGTGTGGGACAGGGAATTTTGTGGTGCACAGTGGCCCCCAATCCAAATCTGCTCTAGGGTACAACAGAAGGTAAGGCTCAGCTGTATCTTCTGTACTTAACATAATGTGTAGTTTGATCCTTAGTTCTGTTTGAATGATTCAGCACATCTGTGCAAAATTAGTCCATCATAGGGTAGGCTAGTAACCATGGCAAGCGAAATGGAGGCAGTGCCTTGCTGATGGCTGATTATCACATGTGCCTCATCCTGGAGTCCATCTGGCTGACCAGTGTTGGAGATTGGATGCTGGACTACATAGACCAGAGGATTCCATATGTTATTACTTGGAGAATGAGTAAATTATCTTTAGAATGACATCTAAGCAGTTGGGAGGAAAGAATGGATCAGAGCCTATAGTAAAGAAGCAAAATATGAATGACTCACCTTCTATGTCCACATTTTATTTCTCCTAACAGATCTTACTGTTATGAGTCCAGTCATTGTAGACCCCGAGCATATAGAAGTTCTCCTTTGCATTCAAGATCCCGATCCCGATCTCCATATAGCCATAGACCCAGGTAGCACAGCATACCATATTTATATGTACTTCACATTTTCTGCATATTGTTTGGAGAGTGGGAGGGGTGTGTATACGAAAACCCCAGCTCTTATAATTCATTGGTACCTCTGGGAAATTCAGGTGCTTACTTGTAATGATTAAGTTATGTCTTCTAGATATGACAGCTATGAGGAATATCAGCATGAAAGGCTGAAGAGAGAAGAATACCGCAAAGAATATGAAAAACGGGAATCTGAAAGGGCCAAACAAAGAGAGAGACAGAGGCAGAAAGCAATTGTAAGCACTATGCAGATAACTTTCATTTTAGGAGAGATTTGTTTTTCTTTTGTAGAAAATGTATATATAGGTACACATACACACACACAACTTTCTTTCCTATGACTTTTCCCTCTTTGGATGGAACAAACAAAATGCTCAGGCTAATCTCTTCACAGGCAATTCTCAATAATTCTGATCTTTTATACCCCAATGTGCTTTCATTTGAATGCTCACTTTGCCTTTAAAATGTAATATTTTAAAGCTACTGTAAATCATCACTTTTTACATTCAATCGCACGGGAAGAAGTATTATAAAAGGGCTTTGTCATGGATAGAAAGCAGCAAAGTAGCTTACATTTAGATCGCATATGGATGTATAGAAATATTAAAAAATGTCCATAGAAAAAGTATATCCTGTGGTGTGGACTAAAATATAGCTTGCCCTAAGCTATATTGGTATATTGGCATTTCTGTGTTCATCTCAGGACATATTTATGCTACAAAGTTACGCCAGCTTCCGTGTAGCCTGACGTTTTAGTGTCATTGCATCACCTGAAGAATCCTAGGAACTACCCTGTTATAATGGTGTGGAGAGCAATCTGTTAGAGAGAAACTCCGCGGTTCCTAGAGAGTGGCTGGTGGCCATAGGGTGGACTGGAGCCCCTCCTCCAAGGCCAGAGTCAGAGCTCTGCCTTCAGAGGGGGAGTTCTGCTGTGGAGCTCCCTACCTCACCCGCCAAACTCCTCCCGGCTGCCCCAGGGAGCTCTGCAGTAACTCACTGTCCTGAGGGTGGGATCCCAAAGGAGTGGGAGAGACAGGTCAGTGAGTGAGGTGCAGGCGAGTCGATTATGGGGGCTTCTAAGCCCCTATCATTATCTCCACAAAGAGAGGACATTGGTCAGGCTAGGCTCAGAGCCTGGCCTAACGAAAATGCTTCAAAGCAAATGCAGAAACAGGCAGACAGTCAGGCAGAAGCTTCTGCTGTGCCACCCACCCTGTTAACAAAAGCTCCGCGGGGTGTAGGATGCATGGATGCCCACAGAACCACCCTCTTAGCCCCATCACAGAACAACTGCTACACCCGGACATGAATGGCTCGGATAAGTTTCAGTCGATATGAAAGGCATGACCTCAGCAGTCTGTCAATGGACTGAATTGAATGCAGCATTCTGGGCATTGGGGTTACTGCTAGCACATGTATGCCACCTGAAGCTCTAGTTTGGGCAGGAGCTGTTTGTTTGTTTGTTTTGGCCTTCAAGCTTAGTTTGGGCTGGGAGTTGTTTATTGACTGAGTGGAGCTACAGCAGTACTACTTTCAAATCCTTCTCCATGCTCATGTAGCCCTTCTTGCCCGGCATTCTTTTCCGTTGTGTGCCTGCCAGTCCTGCACTGAACTCTCCTGTACCTTCAAGCAATAGTGCACTAGGGTCAACTTCCCATATTTGAGCAAGGTCTGGGACTTTTCCCCTCCATTTTGGAATTCTAATATATTAAACTGGTTTGGCTAGAGAAAAACAAAAATTGTCAGAGTAATGGTAAGCAGATGCATTAACGGAGCAGCAGCGGAGGTTGCAAAAGCAAGACAAACAGCATCTGCTAGCAATTTTTCCCCTTCTTGGGCCTGTTTTATATACAGCACCAGCAGAGCAATTAGTGTAATGCATGTCTTAGGTTTGGGGCTGCACTCACATATTCAAAAGTTACTCAGGAACTTAAACAATGTGAAATTCATTGAACAAGCAACAGAACCCTCATAAGCAGTAGGATGCAGGCAGTATTTGTACCACACAGGGATCTTGAAACCTTTCACATTTCCATCTCCAAAACATTTGTGAAAAGAGGCTTCAATTGTAATTCCATGCATAACCTAAATACAAAGTTCTTTAAATAGAAATTATATATCTTTTTCCCCCAAATGGATTAGAGCAAGAAGACGTTCAGAGACTAAGGTTTCAAAGCAAATGCTCTTCAGGACTTTTTAAAATAAATTCCTCTTTGCTACAGTATGGTCTGCTGGATACTAAAAGAAAAATATGACTTTCCTGCCTAGGTGTATATTTTTTTTCCAAATAAATAGAAAAGGAAGCATGTGGTTCATGCATATGATGCGGCAGCCTTGTTGAACATAAACTAATCTGGGTCTGCTCAGTGTGTAGATAAGAAGTGGCCTTGGAACCTTGCTTCAGAGCCTGAGGAGAGATTACACATGCAAGATTTGCTGATGGCACTGGTTTAGACGTCCTTAAAATGGGGGATTAGACATATTCACAGAGGATAGGTCCAACAGCCATGATCACAAAATGGAACCTCCAGTGTGCTTCCAAATACCCTCTGCTAAGCACAGAGTAGAGGGTACCACTGTTTCTTCATGCCTTGCTTGCTCCTGGGCACAGATAGCTGCCTTTTGATAGTCAAAGGATATTGGACTAGATAGAAACTCTGTCTCATCCAGTAGGGCTCTTCAAGGACCTCTGGGGTGCAAATGATAAATACATGAAAAATAAGAACATATAGACTTATTTAGGTGCACTAGCCTTTTAGAACACCAAATTGTAAAGCTATCATACAGTGTAGAGCTAGTTCCGTTTTAAGCCCTGTATTGCTTCTATTCACCTTGACCAATTTATGTCTCCACAAAGAAAAGACACCACAAAGAAATTCTTTGTAATACTGGAATTATCATTAAGCCTGTGCCAGTGTCAAAGCACACAATATGCCTTCCAGTACTTAGGCACAATGGTATGCCATTTAGGTAAATCGAAGAATCTCTTGTTGTACTTGCATATTGGAGGACATATGGTACATTTCAGTTTTAAATTTGAATTCCTGTGATTTGGTTGTTTTTACTTATTCCCTTAATTGTACTTTACCAAGTTTTTTTAATGGTTCAGTTTTAGCAGTTTTAGCAGGCTGGTCTCTCCTTCCCTAAAAAAGAATGAGAAGGAGAGATAAAAGCCAAAAATGATTATACTCATGGCAAATCTCATGGAAGCATGTGCAGTATTTATTCCCATTACATAGCTATATTAAGTTTTCAATGTTAGTGTGTGAAACATTATGCCCCCCCTCCAATCTAGATATATTAGCTGAAATGAAGTGTATTAGAAAGTCTGTAGTTATGTTATGCTCCATCTGGTCAGTCATTTAGGTTCAATAACTGGTGTCAACTGAATTGTTTCTTATCAAGTGGTTCAGCACAGTTAAGTTTTTTGTTTTGGTAAGACATTCTGGTGTGGGGGGGGCGATTATTACTGTGTACAAATCTTTACTGTTTCCAGATTTATGAACTGAATCCTTTCCGATTCCAAGACAGGGCCATTAAGAATAAAGATAGTCTAAAATAAAGCTGTGATGAATTAAAAGTAGAGGGAGACGATGCTTAGATGTTCCTGACATGATACCTATTTAGGTAGCTTTTCCAAGGCAAAAAACATATCAGTAAGAGATGTTTTCATTTTTCTCCAGTTGAATGAAATGTATTAGAATGCACTTTTCAAACATATGTATTTGTCGTGCACATTTTTCTACACGTTTTTCCAGTGCACTTCATTTCATTTATTTCATTTCTATAGCACCCCACAGCACCTCTCTGGGAAGTGTACAACTATGTTCCCCTTCCAACAAAACAATAACATAAAATATCCTAAAAACAAAGCAAATATATAGTGAAACTGGCTTGTAAAAGGAAAAAAAAACATGCATTTTAATTTCTTTCACCAACATATTTCTCCAGTTTCTTTTCTAATTCATTTCATTCATATGCTTTAAATGAGTCGAAAGAACATTCCAGTTCCTGAATACAGAGCAAATGCTTGTCTTTTTGTATGTCCAATTTATGCCGCAAGTTCCAGGTTTTGCATAAATTGGTAAGGCTGTGCTCCATTCCTCCCCCTGCACCTGTTTTAAGTTGGGACCAAGAAATCTAGTGGTCTGCCTACCCTTATAAACATCAAATCAACCCTGGACACTTTCTCAGAAGGCTGTACTAGCCATCCAGTGGCCATCAGTTTGTTGTCAAGCAAGGCTTTCTCAAGAGTAGCATTCACTCTATGGAATGTGTGGTCTGAGAGACAGGACCCATGGAAAGCTTTTGATGCCTCTTGAAGGTGTACCTATTTATTCAAACTTCGGTGCTTTGCTATTTTTGTAAAATCTTAAATGTATGATTGTTTTAAACTGTATTTTATGCATTTTATGGAAACCACTTACAGATACTATATCAAGTGATTAAAATGAAAGAAATGCTTTTATTTATAAATAAATAGATAAAATGCATATTGTTGCATGAATCATGCTGTGAGTTTGCACATGGACAGACTTCAAAGCACACTTGGGACCTGGGAGCAGCAAATTGAGTCAGTTCTGGTCCAAACCTAACCTAAACAAATGTCAAACTGATCATTCTGACTGTTCAACCTGAAGGAGAAATACAAGCACACAAGTTCTTGTTGGCTGTTATTCCAACTGTTAGGTTTTAAGACTGTTAGGTTTTAAGGATGAGTTTGTTTGTTTTTTATTACAAAAAAAATAGATGAACAAATCTAGATCACTGGGGATGGTTTTTTCCACTATGTGAGTGCAAAAGTAGAGACTGCAGAGAGCAGATTTTAAATGCAGTTCCTAATACTGATGGATGCTAATGTCTGCTAATGGGCAGCTACGTGTCTGTGTTTACCAGTAGATCTCCTAGTATTGCTTTTGTGATATTTATTCACTGGGATTCTTGATATGTCAATCCAAAGGTGTGTTTGGCTGATCTGAATGCATTAGGAACCTGGCCTTTGCGCTTTCTGGTGGTCTCATGCCTCTTAAAGTCACTCCTGTGTCTTAATGGACGATCGCTGCAGTACATCTGCTGCTTTGTTGACCTGGGACCTAAGTCCCAGCTTTAGTCTGCTTTCCCAGACAAAATGCAATGTTTGGAATCTCGTTAGTGACATTCTCAAATTGGCAGCATGGCTGAGCTTGTTGGCTATAAGTTGACCAACAATCTGATGGAACCATCCTGAAAGCTCTTCTAAAAAGCCATGTCTAGCCATACACTTAAAGGTGGTTAAAGAAAGAGCCAAACAAGGACAGGCTTCCACAGCCAAGATGAAAAAATCGATTGCCTCATTCTAATTCTAAGTGTTATAAAGAGAAATAAAGTACAAGCACTGCTTGGGTTACAAACGTTCTGCTCCTGAGATAAAGGGAAATTGTCTTTAAGTCAAACTTGTATGTAAGTTGGATCACGTATAGTCAACCCTCCACTTTCATGGGGGTTAGGGGCATAGAATCCCTGTGAAAGTGGAAAAATCACAAATATCTCCCCCCTCCCAAACTCACCAACCCTTCCTTTTTGCAGCAAGGAAATGCTGGAAAGATTTCCCTCTCTGGATAGGTGGGGCAGGAAGGCATGTTCTGGAGGCTGCCCTCTCTCCCCTTTTGCTTCGTCTCCCTCTCCCCGCCCCCATATGATTCTTTGGAGGCCTCTATGTGTGGTGATGATTCTTTTCTGCAGTAATTTTAAAAAATTAATAGACTTTATGACAGTTTGTTTGTAGGTACAGGTTGTTCATAACTGGGATGTTTGTAACTCGGACTGCCTGTATACTGTTTAATCAATGTCTTTGTTTCAGTTTGGTATTATCTACAATTCTACATAACTCCTTTTGTCTAGAGAGAGGAAACAATGTTTTTCACAATTGTGGTATCTTGAAACTGAAATCCTATTATTTCATTGTCCACAGACAAAATGGTGGAATGTATCAAAATAAATGTTTTCTTTCTCATAGAATTGTATTGCTGTGTTTTGAAGCTTGATCTACTTTCTCAAATTAGACTGTGTTTGCAGCATTTCTGGGATTAGAAATCATCTCGGTTGTGTGCATCTTTATGCAAATAATCACCCTTGCCTGCTTATTCTTGCGTAAATTCTGTGCTTTTCCTCACCTACAGGAAGAACGGCGCATAATTTATGTTGGTAAAATTGGGCCTGACACAACCCGTACAGAACTGAGGGACCGTTTTGAAGTTTTTGGTGAAATTGAGGAGTGCACAGTAAATCTACAGGATGATGGGTAAAAGCCTTTAAGTTTTTTTCCATGATACAAGATTTCCATATATTCAAAAGAAATGGTACAAGAAAATGGCATTGAAATAATGGCACTGAGAATTTCCCTAAAAGCGTTGCAACAGTTTTTGACCTGAGGTTTTGAAAAGCCTCTTTTCCTCTTTTATCCTTATTTATTAATCTCACTATAATTGAGATTTCCTATTCTAGAAATAAGTAGTTGGCTGGCAAGACAATTGTGCTGATGAATGAATGTGGTGGGTTTAGGCATTTACGATATGCGAGCCCCAGAGGAGTTTTTCCTTTTTAGATACAATAACATTGACAGGCATTAACACTTTTTAATTGTTGTGCACAACTGTGCTTTCTTTTCAATTACAGAGATAGCTATGGTTTCATCACTTACCGCTACACTTGTGATGCTTTTGCTGCTTTAGAAAATGGACAAACTCTGCGCAGATCCAGCGAGCCTGACTTTGAGCTGTATTTTTGTGGACAAAAGCAATTTTGCAAGTCGAACTATGCAGACCTAGGTATGATATTTATGTTATATTATTTGCGAAGTCGTTCCCAACCCATCATGACCCCATGGAAAAACATTCTTCCAGGCTCTCCTATCCTCCACCATCCCCCGGAGTCCACCTAAGCTCACGCCAACTGCTTCAGTGACTCCATCTAGCCACCTCATCCTCTGCCATCCCCTTCTTCTTTTGCCATCTATTGTTCCCAGCATTAGGCTCTTCTCCAGGGAGTCCTTCCTTCTCATTAAACGTATTTGAGTTTCATCTTCAGTATCTGGCCTTCTAAAAAGCAGTCAGGGTTGATCTCCTCTAAGACTGACTGGTTTGATCTCCTTGCAGTCCAAGGGACTCGCAGGAGTCTCCTCCAGCACCACAATTCAAAGGCCTCAATTCTTCGGTGCTCAGCTTTCCTTATGGTCCAACTTTCACAACCATACATTAGAACTGGGAAAACCATGGCCTTGACTATACAAACTTTTGCCGGCAATGTGATGTCTCTGCTTTTTAGTATGCTGTCTAGATTTGCCGTAGCTTTCTTTCCAAGGACCAAATATCTTTTAATTTCTTGGCTGTAGTCACTGTCTGTCACTACCTCCATTTCTTCCCCATCTATTTGCCAGGAGGTGATAGGACCAGATGCCATGATCTTAGTTTTCTTAATGTTGAGTTTCAAGCCAACTTTTACACTCTCCTCCTTCACCCGCATCAAGAGGGTCTTTAGTTCCTCTTTACTTTCTGCCATTACAGTGGTATCCTCTGCATATCTGAGGTTGTTGATATTTCTCCCAGCAGTCTTAATTCCAACTGGTGATTCATCTAGCCCCACCTTTTGCATGATGTGCTCTGTATATAAGTTAAATAGGCAGGGCGACAGTATACAGCCTTGCCGTACTCCTTTCCCAATGTTGAACCAATCAGTGGTTCCGTGTCCGGTTCTTACTGTTGCTTCTTGACCCACATACAGGTTTCTCAAGAGACAAATAGGATGGTCAGGTACTCCCATCTCTTTAAGAACTTGCCACAATTTACAGCTTGCTAAATTCAGGGTGCTTATGAGGTTTGTTTATTTGTTTGTTTATTTATTTATTCATTCATTCATTCATTTATTTATTTTCAAGCTGGACAGGCAGTAAAGTTGGGGCGAGCTTATCTGCAGAGTAGTGTTCATTGCTTCCAACTTACTTTCTAAGCTGGAGTCAGCTATTTCTGGTGAAATGGAACATCATCATTGTTGAGATGTGGATGAAGTAAAAGATGTGGATGAAGTGGTTTTGCTTGTAGTCGGGTGCTGCAGGATCGCTTTGCTAGCAGCAGAGTGTGGGAAAGGTCCTCCTCCCTCAGCCGGAGTTTCCTGAGCCAGTGAAGAGCTGTTGAATATGGTTTCAGCATGGAGGCAGTAGATGGAGTTTTGATTGTAAGTTGTACTGAATCCTGTGCAGCTAGACAAACCAAACTCCCTGCCTCTGTTGTCACCAGCTCCAAGTGCTTCTGAAGCCTACATTTGTTTGTCTCCACTGCATTGCCTTTACATAAGGCAGATAAGCTTTTCCTCATAATGGCTTTCCAATGTATTTATGCTGAGGCACTTAGCATAAATGGGTTGTATTAATGTAAATTTCAGTGTTAAGGTTAAACCACTTTAGGTGAAATTTGGGAGCACAGGAAATATTTTTCTCTTACCAGGAAAATAAAGAGTGATGTCTCTTGTAGCTCTTCTTGATCAGCTGGTGTATGTGTGTGTGTGTGTGTTGTAAATGAATGGAAATAATCATTACAATCTCAGCCATACCTCCATATGTTAGGCACTTTTTATACCCTGCCCTTTACTTTGTATGATGCGGGAAGCTATATTTTCCCTGACCAATATATGTCTTTCCCAAGTCTAAATGATAAAGACGATATGCATTGTTCAGAGTGAATATGCTATAATTCACTTCACTGGCTAAATAGATAGTGTAAAGCTGAGGAAAGGCAGCTGACTGCTGGAGAGATAGAGGCGCAGTGATGAAAATATAAAAGGCGGCAAATCATTTGTTCAAACACTGGCTGATAAAACCAGTAAAGATGGATTGAAGCCTTGACTTGATTTGACTTATCTTCCACATTGATGAAGTCAGGGGTGTTTCTAGTATCTCAAAACATCAGGGGTATAAAATAAACTGTCTGAAAGAGACCTCCTTGAACATTATTCATCAGCGAGAATAGGCTCCTGAAGAGCTTTCCATGTTGATCATGTCTCCTCAAGACTTTTCCTTCGCAGAACTTCACATATGTCCTTCTGGGTTTTTCTATTAGGGGCTGTTGTGCCTTTACTTTAAGAGAAAATGTGTATTGATGTAGGGATAACTTGTCACATTCCTTACCTGAGAGGCTGATTTTGCAGGGAAGACCATCGTAACCTAAACATAGCAGAAGAATGAGGGCCTCATCAGAAATTTATTGTGGAAAGATGGCATCATAAATCAATGGAAAACAGCAAAACCCTAATCTCAAACAATTTATTAAATAGCTAGCGAATGCTCCTGGCTTCCTGTAGGTTGGAACAAGTCTTACTTTGATACAGCAAAGCCCCAACAAACTTGCAGAATGCAAACTTTCGGTGTGGCAGATGTGGACACATTGTGCCCTCTCCATCTGAGTGACGCCATGGCCACTGGCTGCCCTGAACATGGCCCCTGAGAAGGGGACGGACTGCAGCAGAGGGAAGGGAGCAGGCATGGAACTTGCCTTCAGTCTGCTGATTTCTCCTGGAGTTTCCAGCTCCTGGGCTTCAAGGCTGCTGGTTAAGGATAGATTCCCTGTTGACTGAAGTTGTTCCAGCAGGCTTCATCCACATGGTCCCATTAAAATGAATTGATGCATTTAAAAAGTTAAATAACCCCAAAATGTATACTCCTACATCTTTCCTATAGCTTGTGTGTCAAGGTTTAGCCAATAGGATTCATGGTCTTTTGCTATGGTGATGATGGCCAGGCAGGTAACTATCCCTTTTATTATTATACATTAAAATAATATGCAAATGACATTTTAAAACATATACTATATAAATATTTTGAGGCAGGAAAAAGGATGTAGTTAGTGGGACATCTTTTGACATGTTATCCTGATGTATTATGAGCCCACCCATCTTGCTCCAAAGGCTTATAAAGTGATCCCTGCAGAAACTGTTCTACAAAGAACTCTGTCCAATAACGGTTTGGTGTGTACTTGCTTATCTATCTATCTATCTATCTATCTATCTATCTATCTATCTATCTATACTTTTTTCTGCAGATAGATATTTGTTTTGGTTGGTTGAAATTCAAATACAAACATTGTTTTAAAAAAAGTCTAACCAATAAGAAATAACCTGCAAGATATGTGTGACATATTCACTGCTGTGCTAAACTAAAAGTGTTAAATGATGAGGAACTTGGACTGAATATTAGTTCACATATCCAGATACCTGTGTATTGCCCTGTGTGTGCCACGCCACTGAAATCTATAAAGCCATTCAGGACCCCCACTGATGCTGTCCTTCCACCACCATGTTGTGCTATCAGAAAACTGAAGTCATGCAGGTGGACCACATGCTCCAGATTCTTTCCATGCCACGCCTCGTTCTGAATAGCGCAGCAGTATTGCCATGGAAAGGACCAGACTGAGTTCAAACTCATTGTCTCCCGTTTCATGCTTTAAAAAACATTCATCACAAAATTTGTACATAACTTTCACAATATATGTATTAATGTACTATTCCTTGTGTGCCCTTTGAACACATTTTAAGATGTACGTACTCATTGACTAGAATGCATTGGTGTGATTTTTGGAAGTGCGTACCTTTTTCTTTGCCACAGTTTTCAAGTGAGCACATGTCACATATTTAAAACTGCACAGCAACATGGTTGGGATTGCTCTAAGCCTGGCTACTTTGGCAGTGGGCGAAGGGTGGGGGGTTGTGAACCCCATGGCAAGTTTAGGTATGTATTGATTTCTGATCACAAATTATATTTCACCACAATTCTATCTTAGTCCAATTTTACCTCCTGTTCAGGTTCAGGAGGTACAAATTGGTTAAATCCATCTGTTTACTTTCAAACTCCCCTCAATGAACGTCTTCCACATCCCAACTCCTACATCGCTTTAATGTTCCAGTTGTACAGAGTGGTGTGGAAGATGCCACATCTCCTGGCTGTAAAGGTAATATTTGAAGGGACGCACATCACTAAAAAAGTATTGGTTGGGTTTGTGGATAAGCAGCACGGTGAATTATTGTTATTCAATACGTTTCTATACCACCCACAGTCAGAGCTCTCTGGGTGGTTCACAACATTAAGTCACCCAACCATCCAGATTTCAACCAGGCCCGACCCTGCTTAGCTTCCAAGATTAGGCAGGATCAGGCCTTTAAGCTTTATGGAAGCTATATGTGTTACAGGGGTTGTGTTATTCCTCATATATAAAGCCACTGTTGTCAGTTAATTATAATTATCCAGTACAGGATAAAATCTACAAATTTCATGAATCTCAGTGAAATTTTCAGTCCAATGTATGCACCAAACTGTACCTTACTGTTACGTCTTGGCTCTGACTTAAACATTTTTTATATATAATACCAATGGGATCTTTATTTAGTCATACTTAAAGTAGATCCATGAAATCAATGGTACTTCAGTTAAACCTGACAGACTCAAATTCTATTGAATTCAATGAATCTACTCTTAATCTGGATCCAAACCAGTGTATTTTGATTGTACCTATTTTATAATGAGTTTAAAATATTACTGTAATAATATATGCAACTGATGTATGGACATGCATTCATATTTTATTGCTGTCCTAGCAATATGGCCTACTTTGAGCACACTGCATGGAAAAGTGGCATACTAATGAATAGGATGATGGTGATAACATTGAGGTAATCAAAATTAATTTTTCTTCCAGATTCAAATTCAGACGATTTTGATCCTGCTTCTACTAAGAGCAAGTATGACTCCATGGATTTTGACAGTTTACTTAAAGAGGCACAGCGAAGCTTGAGGAGGTAATGTGCATCATGGCCGAGGATAATGGAGGGATGGTGAATACCTCACGGACGTCACGTCCTTCAATAATGGACAGTGAAGAAGTCATGCTTACAGTGTTCCCCTGCTCTATGCTCTCCATACAAAAACATGGTTTACATGGACACGGCTGCTTGAGGAATGAAGAGGCAAAGAGGGGTTGGTGTGAGCATTTGTGCACCCCAGGGTCTCAGCTTGGCTTTCCCAGGGTAACAAAGTTGTGGGTTTTGATCTTTCTAGCGAGTGCCAAGTGGGAACCACCTGAAGTGGCAGCAGTTCCATAGAGATACATTTTAAAAAATGAAAACTAAAAAATGTGTACATATGACATTTCCAGAACAAAGCAAATTCAAACTTGAGCTGCTGACATCTGAGACACACTGCATTTTAGTTCTTTTTTTGGGTTTGTTCATTGTTTTTTTTAGACAAGCTTCTTCTTATCCTGTGTTGTTCCAATATGGCAACAATCCTGAAGAGATCAACAGATCCTGCAAAATCCACTGTCTCTTACTGTGCTTTTCTCATGAAGGTGAAAAACAAATATGTGGAAGGATTCCAAACTTCCATAGCATTTTAAAGTTTTGTCTTTTTAATTGTGACATCCATGTCAGTGTCCAAATGTTTATCTAACATAGTGAAATTTTGAGACCCTCATTAACAGTCAGCGTGTTTGGTGTTTTTTTTTTTTTTCCTTTGAGCTGACATGGTGTTACACTAGAAACAAGTTGAGGGTAACTGTTTGGGGTGGGGGTGGGGGTTGAATGTACAGTTAGATTATTTACTACATTCTCAAATGTAGTCAAGTATTTACATATGTTAAATGGAGTATTTTTATTTTGTGTACATACTGTCTGACAAGACAATGCTCTTTTTTGTTACAGCTATGCACTGTAAATGCAGCGTTCTTTTAAAAAACTGCTGAATTTTTTCTTAATCAAGAATATTCAAATGTAATTATATGAGGCAGAACAATATTGTACACTAACATATTTAGAAAGCTGAACTTATGCTTATATATATTTGATTGTAAAAAAAAAGAAGTGTGTGTTTGTGTGCGTGTGAGCGTGCGTGAGTACTGAGTGCAAAAATATTGATGCTTTACGCACATCATCCATCCCTTCTTTAATCAGCCTAATAGCATCGACCAGAATTCAGCCAAAGTTAAGAATGTTCAGGTCTCATTCATTAGCTAGACTGGCTTAGTTGCTCCCATCCTTTACAAGTTGCTGAAATCTTTACATCCATGCTTTTTCAACCAGTGGTATCTCACAGTATGGCAGGTGGTAGGAATGTCACCGCTTGAAAAGAACTGGTCTAACTGTACCAGGATATTGATGCTTGCCCCACTAAGGGGAGCATAGAAATCTGGATTGGGAATACATATACCTTTCCCTTATATTCATATTATATATGATACTAAAGTCCTGTGACCTCCTGACGGATGTCCTAACTTGGACATAAAGTCTGAAGTGTCTAGTGTTGCTTGCTGAAAGCCTCATGGGATGCTGGAAGTTTCTGTGAAGAGTTTATAATCAACATTTGCTTTAAGTTGAAGATACAATTTGCTAAGAGAGATTGTCCTATGGCTTCCAGGATCACGAGTCCTGCTAGAAATGGTGAAATTACTGGATGAATCCATTGGGGTATTTCCTGGAAAACTACTTCTACTTCTTTATAGGGCTCCTTGTGAGAAAAGATGCTTCCTGTAATGTTCAGGTAACTGGCGTGATGTCAGCCCTCACCAGGTAACTGGAGGATGCAGATGTCACAGGGACTGGCATGGGAGCGGCCAGAGGTGGCGGCAGCCCTATCCTATCATTCTGGGTAATGCACACCGAAAGGGGCTTATAAGGGCCAAACTTGACATGCAGGAGCAGACACAAGGCTGGTAACTTTGCTTGCCACGTAAATGCTGCAAAACGGTGTGGGACTTCACAAAACATTGTGCAGAGAAGCAATGGGCAAGGGAGACCACTAAACAGAGGTTCCCAGCCCTGGGTCTGCATCCTTCTAGGTCCAACCAACTTCATTTGGAGAGTTAAGCACATATTTAAATCTCTCCATTGAATGCAGTGGAGCTCAAGACTGCAATTCTGTGCGCACTTACTTGTAAGTAAGCCCCATTTAACCCGGCAAGACTAATGTCAGAGGACATGTGCATAGAAATTGTGCTGTAAAAGTGCTTAACTTTGGCTGGTTCATGCCCTTTGTCCAGAAGTATCTTAGCCAACTAGGTATTAATCTCCTTTGTAATATTTTTTCCACGTTTTACTTTTTTTCATCTCTTTCTTTAGTCGTTTTATATACACAAAATTTATTAAGGGCGGGGTGGGGGAGAGATATTTCTCATTTAAACTTTTTTCTAGGCAATATCATAATTTTATGTAAAGCTTCTTAAATGGGTAATCATTAAGAAGTGTTTTTATTTTATGTATTGATAGTTTTGGAACTAGAAGTCAGAAACCTTTTTAAAAATGATACTTTGTTTTAAATGTTGTGACTTTAATTTGATAAAGAAAAATTGCTGTGGTACAGAGCACAGTTATGGTTTTACAATAATTCTGTGTGTCTGAACACTGTTCTTGAAGCCAGTAGTCTTTTCATTGGCAGAGTTCAATGATTATCTATGATTTTAAATGTACGCATCCTGTATAAATACTAATTCTTCATTCCTTTGTTTACTTAAAGATGCATATTTATCGGTTGTGATTAACCTATTTATTATAAATTATGAGGTGACTAAAATAATAAAAAGGCCAGTGGAAATTTTATACCTAGGATGCACACCGGTTGTCAGGTTGCTAAATGTATTTTCATTCGGGGAAAATAGTTTTTTGTTTTTGTTTTTTTCCAGAAGCAGTGACTCCTTCCACCCTCTTTTTCTTATTATTTAACTATGCACTATTATGGCCTTAGAGGTGCCCATGACATTGTGGGAGCCTTCAGATCGTATCAGAAATTGTAGAATCCATTTGCGAGTTTATGGGCTGGCACAGTGCACACCGCTAAAATGGACTAACTTGTGCAGCCATCACATGACTGATGTCTTGTCCATTAAAGTCATTCCTGTCAATTACCCTGTTGAATTTCAATTCAAGCACCCATTGCAAGGTTGTTCTTCCTTTTGATTTTCTCCTTTAGGGCATTCGCTGCTTGTTTACAGAATTGCAAGAAATTCCCCAGAGCGCTTGATAGCATTAAAGAATGTATATGAAACCTCCTCGCCTGCCAAAACCAAAATGCTTTTTAGTGCCGTGTGGGCATGATGACGCCCACTGTGCACAGCACTGCACTTAGGAGATCCCAACAGGGCTCAGGAGAACCCTCTGTTCCTCTTGCAAGGGACATACAAGGCGATGCAAGGGATTATCTAGCTGAGTGGCAGACCCACTCTCTGAAAGAAGTTAGGTGGGGATATGAGAGCCATGCACAGATCTCCCAGCTGCACAGGTGGCTCCTTGTGCTACCAGAGTATGGCTGTAGGTAGAGATAATCAGAAACAAGGCTCTGCTGAGCCTTCTTGGGATACTTTATGGGTTCTGTACTCAGAGTGAACTGGATCATACCCAGTGTATGATATGGTGGTGGGAGTGGGGATAACAGGCAATAATTTGCCTATTGAGCAAACCAGAGTGCAAGACAAGAGTAGGCAAGATACACTGGAGCATCAGTGGTGGCTCTTTTTAACAAGAGGTTTCATACTCTTGAGTCTGAAGAGATGAAAGCACTCCTACCCTCATGTTTAGTGAAGTGGGAAAGGGCCAGCTGACACACAGCACATAAATTTTTGTACTTGGGTATTCATCCCCAAGTTACCCCCCCCCCCCAAAATCCAATGACTGGTCCTTTACTGAACATCATGAAAGTGGTAGCAGTGCCTGGATAGTTCCCCCTCCCTTTCCAACGATGCCCACCTTTCTGTGCACACACAGCCTGTGGGAGTCACTTCCCCTTGGTGTGCCTAGACACATGCAGTTTGCATGTGAGCTGGAACCATGCAGATGGGGCCCATTGCTTGGATCTTCTCCACTCACTTGTCACCCAGGTAGAAGGGAATGTCAGAAGAATGTGGCAGTACCTGTTGGAGATGATCATCCTATATCCAGGCAGGACCATCTAAATTCACCCTGCAGGTGCACAGGCAAATGGAACATCTAGGCAATGGCCTTTCCTTGTTGTATGTCCCCAACACTGGATGAGAGATAGTGTGAGTTTTTGCAAGGAATGAGCTCACAGTGTGAACTCTCTTGCTCAAAAAGGCTCTGCTCACCTTGAGTTGACACCAGGACTTATAGATCTGATTCAGAATCAGGCAAATAGCTCAGTTCTGCAGGTCCACCAACTTCTTTGCCAGTTCTGCTTTCCCCAAGGGAGGAAAAAACTTGCTTTGCAGAAAGGGAAGTGGGGGCTAAAGGTAGAGCAGGCATTTTGCCTACCAATATTGTTCTGTGCATCAGCAGAGCATAATTTTCTGCTTATGAAGGGTATCCACAAGTTCTGTTGCACTAGTCTCCTAAGGGGAGGGTGTTCTGTCAACATAGGTATGAGAGCTTGAAAAGTTTGGAAAAGTTAAGGAATGGGTTTTTTGAGTTTGACTTGAATCCTCAAGTTCCAATTAATTTGGAGAGCAAGCTGGACAGGTTTCACCCAGTTGTATGCTCTGTATTCAGAGGTATATAGAGAGTGGGTTCAGGCAATACGATAAGCTACACTGAAGGGTTGTGTATGGGTTGTTGAACCATGGCTTGTTGAAACATGGGCTTTCATATTGTCTGAACCTAGCCAAGAAAGCAAACCATGGTGAACAAACCACACTTCACAATCCAACAATGAATTATGGGTTTTCTCACTGAGTTGTCCATGTTTAACAGCCATGGCTTGTTAGCACAGTTGGTTCATCCAACTTACATTTTGGCAGCAAGCCACAGTTCAACAAGAACCCATACTTAGCCTATAATCAGTCTTTCCGTGTGACTTTCTGTGCTGTTTGGACCCAGTTACTGCTTCAAACACAGATACTCCATCAAGTTACCATGGGCAGCAATCATTAGCATGAGTGGGTAGGAAATCTCCAGGGAAGAGGTTCTGCCAACATGGTTCCAGCAGCTCCCACACTGAAAGAGTTCTGTGTAGTTTTTCATTGTAAACAGGGATGGGATAAGTGGAGTGCACTTATTGCTGTTTGGCATTCATTACTTCTTTTGAAGAAACAACATACCTACCTATGTAATCTCTTCCCCTGCCCTTCCCAAAATGTAGGAAAATTGATTTTTCTCCCGTGATCAGTGCAGCTAAGTCTGAGAGCTGCCTTCATTTTATCACCAGCATATTGTGTTCCAGTAGATTCCACTGTGTCCTGTTCTTTGCCCCCCCACCCTACTTTTGTCTTTGAATTCCTAAGTAGGTAGATAGCAATAAAAAGGGAACTTTTTCACAAGTTCTGTTTTGCATACTGTAGCACCCTTTCAGTCTGTGCAATTCTTGTCATTCATTGCTTTGTAGGTTGAAGATACAGGTATTTTAACTTTTGATCGTGTGAATGCCAAACTAAACGTTTACAGCTGTTTCTTTCTGGATTTTGAGTGTCTTCTATTGTAAAGGGAAAAAATTAAAGCAATAAATTATTTTTTAAGAAATCAATATTTAGTATATCATATGTTGAAGGACAAGACACATTGCTGATTTTTGCCTTTCAATTTTAGTCATTAAATTTTGAATGCTTTCTATTTTGCTCTGGATTGCTGACATGGAAAAAATGTGTGTGGTTTTTTTTCTTTTTTTTTCCAAATGGCTGCTGTATCACCGTCAGGTTTTGTTTTGTTTTTCTTATCTGTTAACCTGACAAATATTTTGTTCTTGAAAATGGTTCTTCCTTTGCAGATATCAAAGCACACCTGTAATTCGTGTAATTTTATGGTTGGAAAGCAACTTATCACCACAGTCCAGATAAGGAGACAGGATTGGGAAACAGCCTTCCTTCCACACAGGAAACTTTTACTGGGTTGGGAACTGCAAGGATGTATCCAGTGCATATCTCAGTGAAGAGGCCATCAATTCTCATTGCATTTATGCATATTTGCATCTACATTTCTGTCACAATTAGTCAGGCATAACCACAGACAGCTAGAGCTGGGTTAGGACATACATCTTTGGGCAAACGCTGTGGGTACCCCATCAAAATGAATTGTCAAGTGCTTCTGCTCTTCAGAAAGACACATCATATCAGTACATGTCCCACATTGTCAAATTGTAGCATAGATCTGTATGTCTTTTAGATGAAGATGTTTTTCCTCTGCATTCATGCTGTGGTAAGTACCATTTTTTGCAAGAGAAACCAGTACTTAGAAACAATAGCCTTTCCACACAATATAACAAAGTAATTCCTCGGTAACACAAAAATGATCAGAGTCCAAGTAGAGGAGCCCTGAGCTGGGGAAGAAAAATAGCCATTGGTCCAAAATGGCTCCACACCACTGATGGCCTGCCAGCACTGATCGTAACAGAAGGCATGGTTTGTGCTGTTACTAAAAAGTTGAGTCAGTTTGGAAAAAAATAAGATAAAACCTTAATAGCCCTTTAGATAGGAGCTTCCAGTAGGCAATGATTATGTGTCCTCCTTGGATGGCTGTAATGAGAACTTCAATCACTGTTCTATAAGACCTGATCTATAAATGACCTAAAATAGCCATGTAATGTGATGATTCCAAATTTGTAGCGATGTGATAGACATTTTCAATAAGGTGGAACTACTGATCTGATGAAACTGCTGCAAAATGCATACATAGGGAGAAACTAGTAAAAGTGGTGCTGAACAAGGGAGAGTGAGTGATGAGCCTGGCCCCACCGGGCCATTCCTCCCACTGCTACCAGGACTGCGGTGGTGTTCGTTGGCTTTCGAACCTCAGTGTGAGACATTTTCCTGCCACGGTTTCCCCTTTTTAAAAAGAACGTGCGATATACATCAGCCTCGCTGAGCACAATCAGGAGAGTCAAACATTTCAGCCTCACTTGTTTTCCCCACACAACCCTTACTTGTTTCGAGTACACAGAGTCTGCACATGTGAGCTACCCATGTGCAGAATGAAGTTGGTTCTGCTCATGTACAGAGTACACACGGAATGCTTGGCACAAAAACTGGCAGAATCTTTATTTTTATTTTATTGTTTGATAGCTTCCCATTGGCATCACACTTCCTGGGTGACCATTACAATAAAATACCAATAAATAACACTAACAAAATTAAAATAGCATAATAAATGAGAAAATCACAATATATGGAATTAAATAAAAATAAAACATACAATTAATACATTACACCCAGTGCAATTAATATAGATGGTCTAGGTACTGCCACAGGTGCACCAAAAAGAAAGGATTTTGTCAGGCGCCTAAAACTCAAGGTAGGTGCCTGGCAAATCTCTGGCAGTACCGCGTTCCATAATTGGGGTGCCACCACAGAAAAGCCCCTCCTTGTAGCCTCCCCTTAACTTCCTTAGGGAGAGGGACTTGGAGAAGGGCCTCAGTTGATGAAGTTAGGCAACAGGCAGGAATATATGGAGTGAGGTGCTTCCTAAGATAATAGGGCTTTATATGTCATAGTCAAAACCTTGAATTTGGCTCAGACTGGAACAGGCAGCCAATGCAGGATGTGTGTGATGCGTTCATAGCGACTAGTCCTCATTAGCAACCACACTGCCCTGTTCTGAATCATTTAAAGAGTCTGGACTGTCTTCAAGGGAAACCTGGAGGTCACCAGTGCATGAATGACCATGGCAAGACTACCTTAATCCAAGAAGGAGTAGTTGGTTGATCATCTGGAGCTGATAAACGGTGCTCCTGGCAACCGAGTTCCCTTGGGCAACCAGAGAGAGCTCGGGGTCTAGGAGCATCCCCAAACTGTGAACCTTGTCCTTTAGGGGGAGTGCAACCCCATCCAAGACTGGTTTGCAATCTTCCAGTTGAAATGGAGGTTTACTCACCAACAGTACTTCTGTCTTACCAGAACTGAGCTTGAGTTTACTGGCCCTCATCCAATCTATTACTGAGTCCTGACACCTTGTAGCCACACCTGGGTCAGAGGAAAATTAGGGTAAGTTGAGAATCATCAGCATATTGATGACATTGATGACACTTCAGCCCAAACCTGCTGATGACCTCACCCAGTGGTTTCATGTAGATGTTGAAAAGCGTGGGGGATAAAATCGAACCCTGTGGAACTCCATGACATAAATCCCATGGGGCAGAATGCTAATCCACCAGCATCACTGCCCAGAGATGGTCCACCAGGTAGGAGTGGAGCCAGCGCAATGTGGTGCCTCCAACTCCCAACCCAGCTAGACACTCCAGAAGGAGACCATGGTCAATGGTACTGAAAGCCACTGGGAGGTCCAGGAGAATCAACAGGGTCATACTCTGTTTCTCTCCTAGCAAAAGACATCCTAAAGAGCAACCAAGGCAGTCTCAATCCCAAAACCAGATTGGAAACCTGAATGAAATTGATCAAGATAATCTGTGAACTCTAATTGAGCCTGGAGTTGCCTAGGCGCCACCCACTTGATTCCCTTGCCCAGGAAGTTTTTATTCAAAAGTTATTTTAATTGTTAATACTATTTATTTATTTTATTCTTTGGCCAGGGCGACTTAAATTGTATTGTTTTATATTGTGTTTGTTTATTTATGATTGTGAGTTGCCCCGAGGCTTCGGTGAATGGGGCAACATAGAAGTTCTTTCTATCTAGCTATCTATTATATATATAAAAAAATAAGGGGGCATTTGCTATTGGTTTATAGAAATAAGTAAGTAAGTAAGTAAGTAAGTAAGTAAGTAAGTAAGTAAGTAAATAAGGGGGCATTTGCTATTGGTTTATAGTTGTTAATATCACCCAGGTCCCGATTTGACTTTTTAAAGAATGATTTGACCATGGCTGTTTTTAATGTGGCCAGCAGCACTCTGTCTTTCAGGGAGGTATTTATGGCTCCCAAAACCCAGGTGTGGGTCCCCTCCCTCGATCTTCCAATAAGCCAAGATGAGCAAGGATCACCCAAGCAAGTGATTGGCTGGACTTGGTCAAGCATCTTGTCCACATCATTGGGCCTCAAAGGCAGAAACTTGCCCAGCAAAGATGGACCAGGCAGCACACTGGACACCTCCAGTACTTTCAGTTGAATGTTTTCCGGATCTTCTGATATGGAAATGTGCAAGCAGTCAATTGCATAGAAGAAGTTATGCAAGGAAGGGGGTCAACGTTCCACATAGCTCTTTCTCACTGCCCATGAGAGAAAAAAACATATATGCAAACAATGATATTTGCATAAATGGCAAGAAGTCTGCTTTTCTTGTTAGAGATGTTGGGTTACCATGGCAAAGAGAATCAAGTGCATTTTTTTTTTTTAGGAAAGTGTGCACAGCCATGGTTAGGGTTGTTCATCAATCACCATTTTGATCTGAAAGATTCTGCTGTATTTTTTTCTGAACCAGGACAAATATCTACCCCAGAAAAGCTAGTGAATGAGAGAAGTGTGTATGTGTCTATGAGGGCAGTGGTGGGTGGGAAGTATCAAGTTTTAAAGTTGTGCCGCATGTTCCTAGTCCAAGAAAATCTTTCTTGGGATTTTCCTTACAACCTACAATGGTGAAGTATTATTAGAAACAGCTACCCACCTTTAAAGAATTACATTTGGAGGGTGGGGTGGGGGTGATAGTACAGGCCTATTAGCTTAATGACTCTTGGGGGGAAAATGTTTGTAAAGGTACAGTTATCAAGTACATAGACAGAAACATCTTGCTGAAGTACCAAACTGGTTTCTGCAAAGGTAAGTTCAGTCTCATGAATCTTCTAGACTCCCCTGAGAATGTCAACAAGATAGAGGTAATGTAATAATGATCATTTTCTAGGACTTGTTCTAGTTTGGAGATCCTCTGCTATGAAAATTGAGTTACTGCTCTGTAATATGAATCACATTCTTCTTCAATGGGCATTAGGAATGGTGGACGCTGCTCAGTGGAAGCAAGTGTAACGTGATGCGTATTTGTGTTAAAACAGTCTTCACATACAGGCAGGTGGGGGCTAAGCTGGTGCTGCCTGGCCAGGAAGAGGATATTGCGGCTGTGCTGGGCAGCTTGATGAAAATGCCAGCTTGCTGTGAAAAAGGCAACTCCATGCTTGGGATCTTTAGGAAAGGGATCAAAACCAAACCTGCCAATATCACCATTTCTTTACAGGAGGGGAGATCTACACTACAGCCATTTTGTGGGAACAGGTCACAGTATTTATGCAACACACACATAACTGGGGACCATGCATACACACACACACACACACACACACACACACACACACACACACACACAGTGTATTTGAAATTGTGATCTTGTGTCATGCAATGCAATTGCCAGAGGAGTTGGAAGGGGGATATGTGTAAGGAATGGGCATTCAGTGCATCACAGTGAGCTTCAGCATGAAGCATGTGCCCTGCTTTGCTCTATTCAGTGATGCTAGGCAACTTCCAGTTTGTCCTGTACTATCTCCTGGCTTTAGGTTAATATATCTTTTCTGGTCCCTTGTATTTACAAAATACAACATCTGAGCTCAGAGTGTATCATGGTAGTTTACTGGATTTGTTTATATTGAACTGGTTAT